GTGTCTGGTCATTGTCAGTGCAGTGTCTGGTCAGTGCAGCGTCTGGTCATTGTCAGTGTACGTGTACTGAGCTTTTTATAGAACAACCTAACAAGTCACAATTATTTGTTCCTTCTGCGTTTTGAAGAATTAACGATGGTTTTTTTTCTTAGTTTGCTTTGATCCTAGTTCATAAGTTAGTTTGGGGTTTCTTTTAAGTCGTTTATTTGTGGTGGGGCCTTCATTTTGAGATTCAAAATAGTTTTTAAAGTTTTTTTTTCTTTCAATACCTTGTTCATTGATTAATTTTGAGACATTTTGGTCCGTTTGACAAGAACCGTGAGTTAGAAATTATTCACTTTTCCTCCTTTTCTTCTTTTTCTTCTTCTCCTCCTCCTCTCCCTCCCTGATCATCTTCTTCTTTTTCTTCTTCTCCTCCTCCTCTCCCTCCCTGATCATCTTGTTCTTTTTAATCTTCTTTCTGTGCTTCTTCTTTTTGTCCATCCTCTTCTTCTTCTGTCAAGTCTTTCTTCTTATTGTGTATTTTCCCATAGAAAGTCTCTGCGATAATCTACTATATGTTCCCCTTCAGTCCTCAGTATGATTGATTTCTTACCTTCCAACCAGTGGGTGCTTGGTGGGTGTCACTGGTAGGTCCTACCTCTTTGCTGTCCCGATATGCTTTTGCATGTTCATCCAAGAAGACATGATGCTAGGTCTCGCCTGGCCTGGTAGTAGGCTGTGGAAAGCCTAAGCAAAGATTCAGTAATCCACTCAGCTCCCATGTTTGAGTCAGGAATTGCAGCAGCCACTTTAGTAGGGGAGAACATTTCATAACTTGGAGCATACAAGCTGTCAAAAAACTCCCTGCTCCCCCACTGCCTTCTCCACTTGTATGATTTTATCGATTGATTGTGCCAAGAACCAATATTTTGCTCAAAGTCTTTTGCCATATATCTCTGTCAGATCAACACAAGTCCTCCCCATCTGGTACCAGTTTACCTCTAGGAAGATAAGTCTTTCTGTATACCCAAACACCAAACGTTTTTTTGTTTGATTGTTTTATCTTGCCATGAAATGTTTCTTACAATTTTTTTGATGTTCCAAAATTATGGAGTTTCCAATGTTTTGTTTGTTGGATGTCACTTTGCACCTTCCCCTTCGCTGTTTTTCTCTCCCATGTTGTCCTCTTTTTTGTACTCAGAGATCAGACAATTGAGAGTTTGACAAACATGTGGGTGATAGTTAAACAACTGTTCAACTATCGAAACTTGGCATAGTAAAGATGAAGAAATATGTAAGATGTACTGATCTTGTAGACACAACTGTTCAACTATCGAAACTTGGCATAGTAAAGATGAAGAAATATGTAAGATGTACTGATCTTGTAGACTGATCTTGTAGACTGATCTTGTAGACACTACTGCAACTGCAAGAGAAACAAACCAGTTCTATGGTACTAGAACTTCACTATGGTACTAGAACTTCACTATGGTACTAGAACTTCACTATGGTACTAACCAGCAAAAGAAAGATGAATACAGTATACAGAAATGAGGCCTTTCTGTGTGTGACCTTGAACTTGATGCCCAAAGTCAGTCTATTGTTTGGCCACCTTGGGCTGCTATTATTGCTGCACTTCTGCGGTGCATAATGTTTATCGGGGAAGGGGGGGGGGGGGGTGATTCCCCTGTTTTTGATTGGTTCACACAACTGGGTGATCGTTGCGTCCATCTGTGCTGCTGTTTCTGACCTTGGGTGTATACAGTGAGCTGCCTCTGTCTGTCTGTCTGTGTGTCTGTCTGTTTGTCTGTCTGTCCGTCTGTCTGTCAGTCCGTCTGTCTGTCTGTCTGTCTGTCTGTGTGTCTGACCTTGGGTGTATACAGTGAGCTGCCTCTGTCTGTCTGTCTGTCCGTCTGTCTGTCTGTCTGTCTGTCTGTCTGTGTGTCTGTCTGTCTGTCTTTCTGTCTGTCTGTCTGTCTGTATGTGTGTCTGACCTTGGGTGTGTACAGTGAGCTCTCTCTGTCTATGATAAGGCATCTCAAGGGTGCTCCAAGAGACTGAAGTCTGGTGAACAAGCTGGACAGGGCTGCATGTTCATTTCATTATGCCTCAGAAAGTGTTGTGTGACACCAGCAGTAGGGGAGTCTTGGGTGAGAGTCTTGGGTGGGAGTCTTGGGTGGGAGTCTTGGGTGGGAGTCTTGGGTGGGAGTCTTGGGTCATCTTGCTGGAAGAAGTGCTGATGGCTGTAGAAACAACGGCGCCACCAAATGCATCAAGACTTGCGTGATGTACCGCTGAGCAGTGACTCTATTCCTGCATCCTAAGCCGACGTTCTGAAAGATGATAAGCTCAACTGGCTGATTTCTGGGCAATGACTTGACCCAAATCAAAATATGCATTCCGTGAGTCCCAGTGAGTAGGCCTACTTTAGTAGTAGTAGTAGTATAGGGTTTTACGGCGCTCGCAACTGCTAAGGTCATATGAGCGCGCAGGCCTACTTTAAAGGCACAG